CCCCCCCCCCCCCCCCCCCCCCCCCCCCCCCCCCCCGCTCCGATCCCCCGCGCTTCGGCCCCCCGCGACTGCCGCCCCGCTCCGTCACACCGGCGAACCGTCAAGCCGCCGGTGCTGCCCGGCGCTTCCCCGGTGCTTGCCCGGCGCGGCCCCGCAGGATGCTGGTGAAGGCGGAGGTCCTGGCGCCGCCCGCCGAGGACGAGCTGCTGCTGCTGGGGCTGGGCTCGCCCGCCCCCTCGCCCTCGCTGCCTTCCAGCGCCGAGGAGGAGGAGGAGGAGGAAGAGGAGGAGGAGGAGGAGGAGCCCCGCGCCGCCCCGCCGGCGCGCCCCGTGGAGGCCGCGGGCGGCCGCGGGCTGCGGCGGGCGGAGGGGAAGCGGCGGCCGGGGCGGTCCCGGGGCGCCCCGCGGGCGGCGCGCACGGCGGAGACGGCGCAGCGCATCAAGCGGAGCCGGCGGCTCAAGGCCAACAACCGGGAGCGCAACCGCATGCACAACCTGAACGCGGCGCTGGACGCCCTGCGCGACGTGCTGCCCACCTTCCCCGAGGACGCCAAGCTCACCAAGATCGAGACGCTGCGCTTCGCCCACAACTACATCTGGGCGCTCACCGAGACCCTGCGGCTGGCCGGGGCGGCGCGGCTCGGCCCCGACGGGGCGGCGGGCGCGGGGGTCCCCGCCGAGGGCAGCCCGTCGCCCGCCTCCTCCTGGAGCGGCGGCGCCGCCAGCCCCGCGCCCTCCGCCTCCCCGTACGCCTGCACTTTATCGCCCGCCAGCCCCACCGGCTCCGCCTCGGACCCCGAGCACTGGCCGGGCCGCTTCGCCCCGGCGCCGCCGCTGCCCCGTCGCTGCCTCTAGCCCGCCCCGGCGCTCCCGGGGCTCCCCCCGGGGCGGCGGCGGCGGCGGCATCTGCCCCATTCCCAGGGCAGGGCGGGCTGTGGGAACGGCACCTGCCAAACCAAACTTTCCGTCTCTCTTTCTCTCTCTCTCTCTCTCTCTCTCTTTCTCTCCGATGTGCACTTTGTCCAGTTTTCCCAGATCTGTCACCGCGGGGCTTTTGTGTGTCCCCCCCCCCTTTTCCCCGCTCCCCCCCTTTGCCATCTGTCCCTTATGATTTATAGGCGGGAGGGGGGGGTTGGAAAGGGAGAAAAAAAAAAAAAAGAGTAAATTGTTTTGTTAGGGGTCCAGGTTAGAAGTCATTGTATAATTTGTAGGCTTTGTGAGGGCTGAATGCAAGCGTGGAAATTTAGGCTGAACTCTCTATCAAAAGGGAAAAAAAAATCGGGAGGGGGGGAATTGGGAAGGATCTCCTCATACATTATTTATTTCGACCTTTAGGGGACGAGGAACTCCCCCCTTCTTTCAGGAGATTAAAAATAAATCAACAGACTGAAAACCTCAACAGACACGGAACATTACAGCGATCAGCCACACACGTGTTCACATTTATTTATTATAAAGACAGATTTCATGGAAAATATGTATTTTTTTGTATAATTTACAGAGTTTATTCTAGTATGTATTTACAGCTGAAGAGCAAAGGGATTGTCCTTGTGATAAAATATAAATAAAAAGCTCTAATTTTCGTACCTTTGGGGCTGCTGCTTCTTCTGCTTTATGTGACAGCAACCGGGATTTACAGGATTGGGCCTTGTCTCCAGTGAAACCAGGTTCTGATGGGAGCTGATGCCACTTACAGCAGGTCCACAGGCAACAGCTTCTTCAGCAAACTGCAAAAAAACACATTATACATGTATATATACATATATATATATATATATATATATATATACATATATATATATATATATATATATATATATAAGTTCAGTGGAAGTTTACTGATCCTTTACCTTTGCCTCTTGGTACTGAAGATGCTGACAGCAAACGTGGGATGGATGGACGGATGAATGGTTGGATGGATGGAGGGATGGATGGAGGGATGGATGGATAAACAGTTAGCACGCTTCTTCAGGCCGAAGGATTTCACCGAGAAGGCCGCAGGAAATAAATGTTACTGAGGAAAAAATGCGTGGGCTAAAAAAGAGGAAGAATTCCCTTTCTCTGCCTCTCTGAGGGACGGATGAATCCCAAGGCACTTGCAATTCCAGGGGGTTCAGTTTAGTGTGCACAGCACGGGGCCAGAGATGTCACCATGGAGGGGGATGCTGGAGGCTGCCCAGGCCCTTCAATCATCGTCCCTGTGCGCCCGGGAGCACTTTGGGACTTCTGGGTACAAACACCTGGAAATCATTAAAAACCAGCAGAGGCGCCTGAATGTATTAATTAAATAAAATGCTCAGCACGTGAATCCCGCCCGGTGCCCTCGGGATCCTGGGAGCGTGAAACCCGGCCCTTGGAGCGATGTCCACGAAGGGAGGGAGGGGGAAAAAGAGAAAAAAAAAAAGCCCAAAATGTGTGAAAAGAGAATTAGTGAAATTAGGTTAGGCCAATAAACCACACGGGGGTCCCTCAGCCCCGCAGCCTCAGGCGAGCAGCGCTATCTAGCCTGATCTATTGTTTCCCCCCCTGGCAGGGGGGTTATTGTGTGATAAATAATTCCCTAAAAAAAAAAAAAAAAAAAAAAAAGGAAAAAAAAAAGTGGGATCATTTGCATAATCACTGCTTTGATGTGGCCAGCAAGATGAAGCTGTGTCCCCCCAAATCTGCCACGGGCCAGGAGGAACAAAACAAGAGGGAGCCTTTGACGGCAATGGCAGTGTGTGGGGCAGCCCGTCGGGAGAGGGTTTTTCACTCTCACTCTCTTCTAACGACCCCTTTTAATGATTAAACTCCAGGAATGCCAAAAAGAAGCTGAGTGAACCTCGCTCGCTCTCTCTGTCTTTTCTGGTCGGGTCTCATTGTCTTTCCCAGTTTCTCTCCCGCTTTTAAGAGGTGCTGGAGTAAGTGCCTTCGGCTCTTCAAAAGGCCAGGAGGGATGGGATGCACTTCTCTCTCGGTGATGAAGCCATGTAGGAGCGGGAGAGCCATCCTGGGTAGCTCAGCACTGGGATGCTCCCTCCTGCTGTCCTCGGGGAGGGACGCTGCTTCTTGCCAGGTGCGTCATCCTGCAGGGATTTTCCTCCATCCCAGGTATAGACAGGAGCATGCCCATCCTGCCGGGGCTGTGGCGATGGGAACCACCGTGGGAAAAAGCACACGTCGCGTCGGAGGACGGAGGGGGGGGCTTCGGTCAGGGGTTTGGGGTGGGAGGCATGCCAGCCAAACTTTCCCTGCTCCCTGTGGAAGGCTGGCCTTGGCTAGAGATGCCCCGGGAAGACATGGGACCGAGGGGGGCAAGGCAGGGAGGGGGAGACTGGGCTGCGTTGGCGAAGGTTGAGCCAGAGAGGCTGGATTTGTCACCTAACACAGTCGCCCTCATCCCAGTTTTTCATTTGAATGACGCCAAAAGCACTTATTTCCCTCTTTCTTCCCCCTTAACTTGAGTGTATTCCTCTCTTTCCTTCTTTTTTCTTGTATTTCCCCCATTTCTCTCAGAAGAACTGATTTTTGGAGGTGATGGCCAGTCCCCAGAGCCAATTGCAGCCAACCTGGAAGCGGCCCAGGACACGCAAGACAGAAAAGCATCTCCTTGGATGACGAGACAAACCTGGGGGTGGTTTCCATGGCAGCCCCTTGCCCCCAGAACATGTGTTTATGATCCTTCTGTGTATTGTATTTTGGCATAAAAGCTCCTCTGCACTGTCAGGGCTGGAGGGGCAGCACGAAAGCCCCCGAGGGGGTTTACAGCATAAGAATAGTGCCGAGGAGCCAAAGCAGTCCCAGCCGCACCCCAAGGGCTGCCACGCTCGCTTTCATGTCAGGCATCAATCTTTCCACATAGTGCCATCATTAAAGAGTGTTCCCAACACAGCCCTCATGTGGCTGGCAGATCCTAAACCCAGTTTTCCTTAAGCCTTACTCAGGTGCCTCAGGTTGGACTTCACCCTTGCCTCGGATTACACGTGGATTTGGCCCACGCGGCCCCAATTCCCATTCCCCACAGGCAAAAAAGTCTCAATTATCTATTATACAGTCAATCCTCTGGCAGAAACAGAAATCCCAGCGGGAATTTTGTTGTAACTTGGGGTAGGTTCTTGTCTTACTACTTATCTTGTGTTTTATCTTACTACTTATCTTGTGTTTTATGGTCTGAGACACTCTTTTGCTCTGACAATGTAAGGATATCAGGATATTACAATATCAGGATATTACAATATCAGGATATTAGAATATTCTGCCTTTCGCCTATGATGCTGCAACAGCTGTGCAGGTCCAGCAAAATACTGGCATCCTGCTTACCCCCGTGACCTCTTGTACGGAACTCAGAATAAGGAGAGGTAGAACTCTGGCGCTGCTCAAATTTAAAATAAAGCCTTTAGAAATTGCTTGGACAGAAAAGAAATCCTCGGAGGGTCACTTTGCAGCGGCCACGAGGGAATAGGGATGGTGCTGGGGCGGCTGTGACACGCAGCCACCCCCTTTCCCTCGCCTCCCCTCCTCCTCCTTTTATTAAAAAGCAGAGAGCCCGGCCCAAAGCTGATGGCATATTTACCTTCATGAGTTTTAAAAAAAGTTAATTACCGCTCGGAGCAAGTTGGTCGGGCTGTCCTGAGCTGTCTTTTATTAGTAGTCGCCTTCATTAATTTCCCTCGCTGGATTTGCTGTTAATAGCTGCCTGGTCCTGGGCAGCACAAAGCAGCATCTGTGCCATTGAGCAGAAAAGCGGGAGTCAGGCAAAGGGGGGCACTGGGGGGGGGGGGGGGCGACGCCGTTTGCAAATCAACCTCTATTAACGTGATGTCCTGCTCGGAGGGGACGGCAGCCCCCGGTAGCCAGCATGGCAGTTTGGGCTTCACTCGGCTGTTACCGAGGGAGGAAAGGCACCTGCTGCCTGCCGGGGGGGCATCCTGCCCTCACCCTGTGCCCCCGGGTGCTGGCTGTGCCACCCCCCAGATGCAGGGGGAAGAAGGATGCCGGACCTGCCTCTACAGGATCTGCGTTCCCCCTTGGTGCTGTGGGTGCTCTGGTTCTCTTAGCAGCATCCAGCACTAACCAAATTATTAATAACTTGGTGTCTTCGGATGAAAGATACGCTCTGCCTTAAAAGCGGCTTGGCAGGGAAGTTTGGGATTAGAGAACGGGATTAAGTTCTGTCTGGAGGGGCACAGTGGGCAGGCTGGGGGGGCTGGAGGCATCACAGACTCACACGAGCTGGGGCAGCGGGAGGCTGCGGAGGCCAACAGCCCCATCTGCTCCCGCTCTGCCAAGGGACAGGGGAGATGATTTCATCCAAGTGGAAGAAAGGAGGGTGGCGTGTGTCGCTCCCGGGAGAGGGGTGAGAGCTGCACGCTGCTGCCAGTTTCCCTGCAGGGCCAGGGAGGACACCCGGGCCTGTACTGGGGACTTCCCTTGGGGCAGCAGGTGACAGCAGCAGTTATCGAGTTGTTTTTTGGTTTTTGGGTTTTTTTTTGCTTTGCTGCAAATATTCCCACTCTGGTTAGTGGGAAGGAGATGCTGAGGAGGCTGGTGCTGCCGTGCCTTTCCCAGCAGAAGGGATGGGGCAGCGCGGGCTGCGGTTCTGCGCTTGCCGGCGTGAGGCTTTGCCCTCAGCCCCCCTGAATAGCTGTGTCTGGTGAAGGAACGGTGCCTAAATCCAGCAGCTGGGCTCCAGGGGCAGCTGATGCCGGGTTTATAGCAGCAGGGACGTGCTGCCTCGCGTGCAGGGGCTGCCTCACAGCTGGAGGGGTCACCTCGCGCCCGCTCTCCGCCAGCCGTAATGGCCCGGGATGCTGAGACTCACAGGGAGGCAAGCCTGGCTCAGCACTGTATTGTTGGGACAACTGAGGGGCTCCCTTTCCTCTCCAGCTGTGCTAAGAGAAACCCCGCAAAGTGTTCCACAGAGTCACTAGTTACTGGCAAAGGACTGAGAAAATCATTCTACCTGAGGTTTGCAGCCTCCGCTTGTTCCCTCGGCATCGAGCTTACTAAACTTTCCTGCACGAGCACACAGCCAGCGAGACTCTGCCTTTCACATGGATACCTGCAGAAAGGGAAGTGGGACAAACCTTTAAGCAAATCCCTGCCCCTGAAGGACAGGAAAGTGTGTCCCCACCCTGGTAAGAGCAGGACAGTTCTGTGCCTGACTTACTGCAGCACTTATACAGGGTGTAAATTCAAGTCGGTGAATTTAGCTGAGGGGAGGAAACATTCATGTTTCCTCAAACTTGATGTCCCTCCAGGTAATATTTCACTGTCCCAGCATGGCACAGTTACACTCATATTGCAGAGACTGGCCCTCAGTGGTCACACCAGGTTGGAATCTGGAGCGCGTTATAATTTACCAAGCCCCAAAAACACCTTGGTAGAAGTTACTTAATACAAACCATTCAATTCCTAGCTAAGACTTCTAATTAAAAACAAAACAAAAAAAACCAAACCGAAACAAACCAACCAACCAACCAAACAAACAACAATAACAACAACAAAAAAACCAAACCAACAAACAAAAAAAAAAAGGTATTCCCTAAGTTAGTTCAAATTCCTTTATTCTGAAACCGGAGAAAATAACAAAAGAGCAATTTTTTTTGGTCAGTAGCTCTAAGACGAAACTTTTAGCCAAAATATTAAATTCTCCATCATCAGAATCAACTGTTTATTTCCCCAAAATTCCCTTATTTATACCACAAATATGAAACAATAATTTAAGTTCTGTGTGCTTGGAGACACATGTGTGTCCAAGTTCTTCGGGCAATGAGGTTTTGGGGCCCATTAATCCATGATTTCCAGTACCCAAGCCCCAGGTGAAGACAAGAGGGCCTGATACCTCTGAAATTGTGCCCAAGCCTGTAAAGGGTGAGACAAGTAGAATATGATTCCATGTATGTTTTAACAGGGAGCTGGACAGGCAGCTCCTCAGTACTTTAACCTGTGAATAGCCATAACTTTGCCTGAGATGGCAAAAAGTGTCCTAACACCAACACGAGAAATCAGCTGCTAAAAGCAGATACCAGGAAAAAAAGCAAGATATTGAAATTTCACGCAGATGGATTTGTTCGGGAGCACATCGAAACTAATTTCCTTTTTCTCCCTTTGACCAGGAAGAAGCTGGAAAAGGCACGGCTCGTCAGGGCTCCCGAGGCTGCGTGTGCTGTTGGAGCAGACCCGGCGGGGCCGGCTGCTGGCAGCGTATTAGGACACTTTGTTCTGCAGAGATTGTCCGGGAGGTTTTGTTTTGGTTTTAATTGTCTCCATAGAGCAGGGAAAGCCTCTGCAGAGAGGCTTTAACACAGCATCTCCGCCGCCCATTAATTCCCGGGATCGTGCTAACTAGCTTTGTTTGCCCCTCGGAGCCGGGCGCTCGCTGGCCGGAGCGCGGAGCTATGTTTGTCACTTGGTTAAAGCCAGCATTTCCCCACTGCTGCGGACAAGGCCGGCCTTTATTGGCTGCGCAACAAGATAACGGGCTTAATCTTCCCAGTAACACGTGAGTTTTCATGTATCACTTTAATCTGCGAGACACTGGGGCCGAGTGTACCGTCACATGCCGATTTCACTGCTGTGTGAGCCAGCGCCTGCCCGGCTCAATGATGGATTGTTCGCCGGCTCTTAACAACAGGCAAGATGGTGAATGCCCCGGGGTGACAGACAGTGTGCAATGGGAACGGCCACAAATCTGACGGCCCGGTTCAAGTTCACCTGACAAAGCTGGAGCAGTCTGCGAGCAGCTCCCGAGAAAGGATTATTCACACTGGCATTATATTTTTGAATGCATTTTTCTCCCCGTGCAGCTGCGCAGCTCCCCAAGACTGAAGGTTTATGCACCATAATAAAGAGATTTAATTTTTTTTTTCTTTTCCTTCTCGTGCTTCTCCCTATTTACACCTAGTTCTAATTGGTTGGTGCAGGGATAAGGCATCTTTCCTAACAACTCCGCACAAACATCTCCTAGAAAACAATAGCACTGTTAAAACACGGGGACAAAAGCCTAAAAATCTCCACTGGCTGCAGAAACAAAAGAGGGTGGTTTTGTTAAAGCCAAGTCTGTTGGGGACCCATCTTTTTTGTGGAAGTTTGATGCTGTGTTCCCTTTCTCGTGGGGAAAATCTCCCCCAGCCTTTGCGCTCGGGGCAGAGGGACATCAGGGTTTTTGGGGAGGGGGAAGAGGAGAGTGGGAAATGAAGGCAGCCTTTTGCTGCTGGTGGACATCCCTGCTCCTAAAGATCTGTGTCCAGCTCTTGATGTGACTGACCTGTGAGAGTCTACGCCAGCAGCTCCACCGAGGGCCTTTTCAAAGACAGGCTGCGACAGATCTCGTTGCACTCCACGTGCTGGTCATTAAAGAAGTAATAAATCCCTTTCTTCCCAAAGTTGGAGCGGGAGACATCTTTGCTACTCAGAGAATGAATCTGGGGGTCTGTGAGGTAGATGAGGCCCTTCCCATTTCCTGTCACCCAGCCTGTGGAAGAAATTTGGGTATCAAACATCACAGGCTTTGTATTGTTGTATTCAGGACTCACTGCTCTGTGAGCGTCACCTCAGTGATTCCCAGTTCCCACCTGTGTCAGCAAAAGCTGAACCCTAAGAGGCACTTACTGAGTATTTAAGGAAATGAACATCCCAAAGACACCTGGGGGCTAAAGGCTGAGCCTGAAAGGCATGAGGTTCACTGTAATACGCACCCTGCAGGTCAACGACGACGTCTGTTCCCTTGGAGAACTCGTAGGAGAAGTGGCCGTAAGCCAGACCGTACTCTGTGGCTTTGTACTCGTTCTTGACTACCTTGGTGTTGTTGGACAGCTTCACAAACTCCCCAAGCATGTAGGGCTCCACACTCACACACCCTTTTATCGTTCTGTCTTCCAGGATCTGAAATGAGACAGTCTCGCTGCTGTTGGTTTAAAATCAAAGGCACCCCTCCCACCAGTTCCTTGGAATTGCTTAGATGACAGTTCTTACCAGGAGTACTGCAGATGGGATATAAAAGATTTGGGTGGGGACCTTTTGCTCATACAGCCTCTTGTTGAACTCTGTCACGTAGTACTGGGCGGTCATTTGTCTCTCCACGTCACTGAAGTGATGGAGGAGCCCTTTTTCTTCTTTATATTCCTTCCCAACATACCTAAGCAGAGGGAGAAGTGTTTGGAGAATTGTTTGTCTGTTCTGTATGTTGTGATACAGAACATCACTGCAAAGCTGAGCTTGGCTGTTCAGAAGCAAATCCTGCTGTGGGTGATACATTTAAAATGGCCATTAAATTTGGGTGTTTTTTTTTTCTTTTGTATCTCATACAGCAGAAAAATTATCCATTAAATCCTGGGATGGGGGTTTCATTACACTGGAATGTTTAAACTCAACTCCTTCTTGACTCTGAAGAGAGAGTCAGCTCAGAGGTATTGAAATACTTCTCTCAACCCATAATAATTCATAGGCTACTTCTAACAATTATGTTTCTAATTAATGACAAGAATTAACTCTGTAATTAGCTGTTAGAAGATAACAGTGCAGCTTTTCCTTCCCAGAAATTAAAAAGTAGAGTTACACAGAGTGATGGGGAAGGTTGCCAAAATGCCCAAGTCATTTGTAAGACCCATGAAACACTCCTGCTGCAGAAAATCTCACAGCTTTTATTTATATTTACAAAGAAACAGCATTGATAAACATTTTGTTTTGGAAATCTGTTCAGCCCATACCTTCCCAGGGTTTCTTCTTGGTGCAGGAAGTGTATCCAGAAGGCCCTTCTCTGCTTGCCTTCCTTCGCCACGTTCAGGTAGTCCCCGATGAACACAGCAGTCTCCTGGCCCGTCCACAGGCCTGATTTCTTGGAGTATTTTAAAAGGAGAGCAGCTACAAAAAGAAAACATCACAGATTTGGGTGTGGTTCTTTTTGGTTCTGGAATCTAAATGGGCAACAAGACTCAAGTAATGGGGTGGAAGGCAAGAAAAAATTAAATCCTAATGAATGTTGACTAAAATATCGTGTTAAAAGGCCTGAGTCAAGCCTGTTCCCTGAGAAGGTACCTCAGTTGCTGTGTAGGAACTTACAATATGCTTTACGAAGCTCTTTGGTCCCAAAAATCCCAGTAGGCATCAGTCTCTGGACAAGCCAATTATGTTCCACCCCCGCCAGCAGCTGCTTGTAATCATCATCCCTCAGAAATCGAGCGTCCAGGATTTCTTCCTTTGTTCTCCCAGGTGTGAGAGCAAAACCACTTCCCCTTGGGGTCAGAAACGGACCTTCAGGGGAACTCGTGGGCATCTGTGCTGATTTAATCCATGAACTCAGAGATGAACTGGATTGTCTCTTGCTGCTCACCATGTCCTGAGACTCTTCCTCATCTCCTTCTGTAGTGGCACAGTCAAAGGGCTTGCTTACGGATATCTTGGCCTGTGAGGGCAAAGCCGTTGGCACACTGGGAGCTGATTGATGCTTTGGAGCAGATGCCGTGGGATAACTGTTTACTAAGTCTCCAACACTGAGGAAATCAAATTCTGTGTCGTCAACTGTTTCCGCTTGGGTGTCAACCTGAGGCACTTGGCGGGATCTGTCCCCCACCATGGCAGATTTCCTCATCCAGTCACGCACAGAGGAGCCGCTGCCTGTTTTGGGCTCAATGCTCATTGATAGCACAGAATTACCCCCGTTTTGGGGGGGATGTGGCTCACACGAGGGATCCTCCGTGCTTCCTGCGGGTTCTCCTAGGTGGACCCACTTAAAGCGACCACCTCCTCCCTCTCTGCTGCTGTCCTTGGTCCTGCAGCCCAGCTCTGCACAGGAGGAGGACTTCTCCTCCTCCTCCAGCTCGGTAGGAATGGAGTAAGAGGTGGAGAGGGAAGGAAACGCATCACTCAGGCCCTTTGCTTTCTTTTGTGGAGATCTCTTTCCCCGGTACCTTCCCTCCTGCAGTTCGTCTCCACAAAGAGACTCCTTCTCCACCCTCCTCCCAGCTCCAGGTGTGCTTCCCTCCAAGGAAGTCTGAGGAGATCCCTCACAGCTACGGAGAGGTTCCCGAGCAGCACGATTCCAGGCTCTGGGAGGCAACGGGCACAAGGACATGGCTTGAGTGTTTCCATCAGATTCTGTGGTGCAGCACCACTCCTCGGCCGAGCCCTTCTGCTGCTGCTGCCCTTCCCTGGAGGACTCTCTGCTGCTATTGCAGTTTAGCTCCTCCCAGCTGGAAGAGTAACTGGATTTTGACAGCTTGCACCAAGAGCTCTCTGAAGTTGTGCTTTGACTCCTGCTTTGCCCTATGCTGAAACCACCATTTTCGTCATTTATTTCCGTTCCTAAAGGCTCAGTCTCCTCTTCCAAGGAAATTTTCATCACACCAGAACGAATGTCTTGATTCCTCCGGTCACCAAGCCTCTCTGAGCTGCTTCCTGCCGTTGGTAAGCTCAGGATTTTTGCAGCACTCCTCCCCTCCTGCACTATTTCCTCAGTAGTAGACACAGTGTCTGTGGCTTTGGTCTCTGTCCTTAAGGTTGTGATACAAGGTCCCACGTGGATCTCTCCCGGCGTGGTTTTACGAGCCCTGCAAGTGTTCTCAAACACTTGGCACACCGACAGGTGATGTTGGGAGTGCCTGGCAAGGATTTTCTCAAAGCTGGTTTCCCCTCGCAGGGCAGGCTTTTCCACTGTGCCTTTATAACTGTCTGGGACGTAAGACCTGGCATCGGAATTGGGGAAGCTTTCCACTCGCAGGCGCTTCTTCACGGATGTGATCAGGGACATGATCTTTTTGGCAAGCGCTCCTTTCTCCTCCTCTTCTGGGAACGAAGTGCTGTAGGAATGCAGTTTTTCCAAGGCTTCCCTGCACAGTTGCCCCACCTCACGGAGCTCCTCGCTCTCCCCACGGAGCCACCGGTGCACGGTGGCGAGGCAGAAGGCAGCTTTAATAAAACTGTGGAGCTCCTGCTTGCTGGTGATGGGACTCTGGTCGTTCTTGGTAAGGAGCCCGATCTCGAAGGATTCTTTGGCTTCAGACAAGTAGAACTCTCTCTTTTCTGGGGGACAGTCCTTGGAGTGACTGTAGGCCAGCAAACACGTCCCCCGGATGTTCTGGGAGGGGAGGAAAGAATG